ACTTCAAGATGGATCTAGAAATTACTTTTTTTACTATAAAGGCAACCCCATTTTTCCTTGTCTTTTCATCTCCAGAGTAATATATCATATGGTCATCGATCAATATTTTCTCCAAACACAATTAACACCAATTGCTTAAGTAAGTGGCTTTCAGCCCACAACTGATGTTGATTGAAATCAGAAATGGCTAATCAGCTTACATTTGATTGTTAACAAAATAAAAACCAAACAGTCTACACCTAGCTTTCAAGTAAATTAAAAAAAAAAACAAAACCAAAACACACTTACCTCCCAGAATCCAATCGCTCCAAGCTGGAGACTGACCCTCAGGCAGGACCCAACTGACTTTTAAATACAAAGGCCCACCCACCATGTCCTGATTGCTTAAACAAAAGGCCTCCAGCCTACTGCTGGTGTTAATGAAGTAAGAAATGGCCAACCAGCTTACACTTGATTGTTAACAAAATCATCACACACCTTAATGCTTCCTTCTCCCTCTGCTCGCTTTTGACTCTAATAACCACTGTTCAACTCTGATCTCTACGTTGTTATTAGGTGCTGTCACAATGCATATGACTTACAGTGATCTTATAAACAACACATCTAAACCTTGTCCTTTCTTGTGCCATCCTTGTCATCTCTGGCATACCTGAACCCACTGCCATAATCAGTGTGTCAATCCATCTTGTTGACAGTCTTGCTCTTGACACATTTACTTATTAAGGCAACTTGTGGTTGCTGTGATGCTGAACACTGTGACACTTATGTGCCAAATGTGATGATAATGGTTACACATGGTGGACAGTGTTTGGTGGAGCTCCCCGATTAAAATAAGCTTGGAAGCAGGAGTGGCATCCACTTCTGAAATAGCTGGCCTCTAGAAACTCTATGAACTTGGTGAAATGATCAAAGTTATACAAGTGTTTAGGTCTTTCATTCATAGGGTCATTATGAGTCATCTACGACTCAGGGGCACCTAACAACAACAACAGCAACAACAACATGTAAGTGATAAGACACAGTATCTGCCCTTTTGTGATTTTTTAACACGATGTTTTCACTATTCATTCACACTCGATATCTATCAAGACTTCATTTCTCTTTCTGGGAGATCAATATTCATATATATATATATATATATATATATATATATATATATTTTTTAAGAGCAAGTGCTAGTTTGTCATCTGGTTGAAGTTTATTCTTTGTCTCTGTCCACCATCCACTCCTCAAGCTACATGCCCAGGCTCAATGACACCAATTGTATTCAGTGAAGGGGTCACAGGGGCACACAGTTCCACTGGTTCCAGTCACAGGGCAAGGGGTTGTACTGCAGATTGTGATGCAGCTTCTGTATGATCTTGTTCGTTCTGGCTGTATGGTTGTACAGAGGGAAGTTGAGTTTATCCAGATTCTGGACATAGGAATAGAGGACATGGGAGATGAGGCCCAATTTCCTATATTCTGGTATAGTACCTCCCATCCTTATCTCTCCAGTCTGGTCCATCAATGACCAGGACACAGGTGTCCCATCAGGACCCAGCAGACAGATGGTGGGGAAAGTCTGGATACAGCGCTCAATAAATCGTTGGCTTCTTTCATTGCCACCAAATTGCCAAATTTTATTCACCAATGCTGCATGGGTGATATCCAGGGATGAATATTTAAACATCTCTTCATTGCTGTGTGGAGAGTGAAGAGTAAATAAAAGTTCAAATTAACATACTTACTGTGAAGTGCAATGACATTTAACATATCTACTGTGGAACCTGGAGAAAGGATGAAAGTGTAGAGGACATTCGTTCACAGGGTTGCTATGAGTCGCCTACGACTGGACGGCACTTAACAACACAGAGAGAGTGGACCAAAAGTGATGCTACCAAGCCAAAGGTGGATAACTCTAATCCATGGCCCTCAGGCCTATTTTTCTTTGTTTTTGTTTAAACATTCTTCTAGGTCATATAACCCTGGTGTGTCCACTTGCCAGACAGAGGTAACACTGCAACACTGATGTGTCAAATGAGATAACAGTTACCCATGGGGGACAGTGTTGGGTGGAGCTCCCCCATTAAAACAAGCTTGGGAGCAGGAGTGGCATCCACTCCCATAATAGCTTGCCTCCAGAAACCCTATGAACCTGGAGAAAGGATGAAAGTCACGCACGCAAGTGTCAAGGTCTTTCGTTCATAGGGTTGCTGTGAGTTGCCTACTACTTGACGGCACTTAACAACAACAACAACAACAACAACTGTGAAGTACTATCCGATCAACATACCTACTATGAAGTACTTCTATCTTTTTCTCCTAAAGTGTCGTGAAGGGTAAAAAAGTTTAGACTACCTGAGTTCACTGACTAGCTGTGTTAATGTGTTAATGTCTCAATGCCTCCATTTTTTTCTTCTACAAAATTAGGGAATTGATAGTACCCTCCTCAAAAGACACATGGAATCATGAGAACAATTGCATGACAAGTACCTAGAACAAGCCAAATAAAAAGTCAAGTCAGGCATCACCGCATCACCTGACTCATGTTTGCCAGAGTCAACTGTGTCTGGAGAAAGGATGAAAGTCATGTTTCAGAATAGTTAGGTGGGGTTTGCTTCTTTGGTTGGTTTTTGTTCTGAGTGACTCTGAATAGACTCAAACCATTAACCTTTGCTTTATTAACTGAGTGCTTAACTGGTTGCACTACTCAAAGAATCACAAAGAATAAGAACTCTGTAATGTGACCCTCCAATTCAGACAGAGCAGGTGAGATTCTCCCTGTTTCAGAGAAAAGAAAGAGGGTAAACAGCAAGAACTGAGTGTCTTAAATCACCTATGATACTTAGGTACTGCTGAGTTCTGACTCTGTGATGATTCTTTCTCTATGTGTCAAGTCTTTCTCCCGTGGTTCAAACTACCAGCCTTTTAAATTAGTAGTTGATAGCTTAACCATTGCACCTCCAAAGCTCATAAATCACATACTTTGATATTTATCTGTCAGATCCTTTGAGTTTCATAATGATTCTATGTATAACAGAACAAAGCTCATTGCCATCCCCACAGTCTCCTCTGTGCGTTAGCTGATTGTTGTAGTGTAACTGTATCAACCCGTCTCACTGAGGGTCTTCCACTCTTTGCTTTCCCAAGCAGGATGTCCTTCTCCAGAGACTGGGCCCTCCTGATAACATGCCCTCTCCAAGTGGACAATAAGCAATACAGCTAGAGTATAAGATCATGATATCTTAACTTGTTGGTGTCAAAAGGTCTATCAGCCACCATGTTAAGCAACTGAGAAAGCCAAGTTCAGAGATACACAGGAGAGCAAGATACAAACACCCTTGCTTTATGAAACACTGAAGTCTGAGGGTTTCATAGGTGTCTTGGAAGAAGCCTTGGGTCTGGAACTAGAAGGTCTAAATTCAAGCTCCATTAGCCACCCACCTTCCCTTTGGACTAGATAGTACTTGGTTGCACAGTCAACATGCTTGGTAACAGCAGCCAGGAAATCAAGAGACAAACTGCATTGGGAAAGTCAGCTGGGAGGGACCTCTCAAGAGTACTGTAGAGCAACAATGTCAGGCTGGAGACTAAGGTGTACCTGATCCGAACTATAGCCTTCTCAATTTCGTGTTATACATTAGAGAGTTGAACAGTGACGAGGAATGATAAGAAAGAGAGTTGGAGCCTTTGAGTTGTGGTGCTGGAGAAGAGTGTTGAATATACCATGGACTTCTAGGAGAACAAACAGATTTGTCCTGGGAAGGTGAAGCTGGAATGCTCCCTGGAGTCAAGGATTCTGAAGCTTCGTCTGACATACTCTGGGCATGTTGCAAGGAGGAACTAGTCCTTGGAGAGGGACATAATGTTTGCCAGAGTAGAGGCGCGGCACAGGAGAGAAAGACCTTCGATGAAATGGATCGATTCTGTGACTGGAGTGGTGGGAATGAGTGCATTTGAGATGGCTAGGTTGGCACAGGATAGAATGGTGTTTAGGGCTCTTATACATAGGGTCGCCATGAGTCACAAGCAACTGGATGGCATATAACAACAACAACAACATTACATCTGAGTCTGCCTTCTTCCAGCAAAAATGGGGTAGGCTCTTACCTTCTACCTAGTCTACTTGACAGGCAGATAAAATCATCAAGTTAGATTATACATGTGGAGATGCTTTTCAGCTTGTAATATCTGATATAACATGAAAAAAGCTCTTGCAGGAAAATGGTACTCGGAAGGTCCTGGTATTGTTGTTGTTGTTGTATGTGCCGTCGAGTCATTTCTCGACTCATAGCGACCCTATGTACAACAGCCCTAAACCCTGCTCTATCCTGTGCCAATCACATTGCCTCTGACACACCCATCCCGATTACCC